ATTTAAGTTAAGGTAAGGTTTAGGGTTAGGTTTAGGTTTAGGGTTAGGTTTAGGGTTAGGGTACAGCGCGCTTCTGTCAGCGCGCTGTTGTCGGCGCGTTTTAGCGCTCATTCGTCGCGCGGTTTTGTCGGCGCGGTTTTGTCACCGTGGTTTAGTCAGGTGCGCTTTTGTCATTCGCGCATTTGTGGTGGAACTGCAAAAGAGGATCATGTGACCCGGAAGACTGGAACTGTCATACATATGAGTCAGCTGGCTGGATGTGTGATAATAATAATTATAATATATTATAATTATATTATAATTATATTATAATAATATATTCATAATACATAATATACTATTATAATATATTATTATAATAATAACTATAATAAAAATAATAATGGAGTAGGATTCATATTCTAATACAGAAGAATCTTAAAGTGAATATTAAGATAAAAACAGAAATGTTTCTTTTGGGTTTAATGGAAAAAGATTTGAAGAAAAAAATTGGAACTTTCATGTTATATATCAGTGATGGCTAACCTTTTTCCTAAAAGTGTGTCAAAATTGTGTGCGTGTGCGCGCACTATTGCATGCACGCGTGCCCACACACCTGCGCATGCACGATCGATCCCCACCTGCGCATGCACAAGCAACCCCTCCCCCGCGCATGTGAGTGATCCCCGCGTGGGGGTGGGATTTTTGCCCTCTCCAGGCTCCAAAGGCTTTCCAAGGAAAGGCTTTTTACCTGGGGAGAGTGAAAAACAGGCCCAAGGGGAGCCGTTGGGCCTGTTTTTCACCCTCTCTAGGCTCTGGAGGCTTCCCTGAAGCCTGGGGAGGGCGAACACGGCCTCCCCCCGGCCCTCCGGAAATCAGCTGGCCAGCATGCACATGTACGCTGGAGCAGAGGGCTGGCGAGGCAGCAAATATGGCTCCACGTGCCATAGGTTCACGGTTATGTATGTTGACGGCAGCGAGATTAATTTACACCCCAAAATTAAAGGATTTGATTCCTACAATGGGTGAATGCCTGCTAAAGTTGGTGAAGTTAGCAGAGGTTTTGATAAAAGGGGGGAAAGTAATTTTATTTCTACTTGGAAACCGCTTCTGGACTTTGTGCACGAGGAGGGGAAAAAATGAAACTTTGAAATGGCTACTATGTAAAAGTAAAAAGTTGAGGTCTGATATTACTATTGTCAGGCCTGGAAGCCATCTTCTGCCTTGGGCCTTCCAGCCATATTCAATGCTGTGGTGAAATGGGGTGGTGGTGGTTATATGGAGTATGGGATATATATATATATATATCCCATACTCCATATAACCACCACCACCCCATTTNGTCTGAATTTCGATCAATTTTCCAATGGTCATTAAGCGTGAAAAACGGTCGTAAATCACTTCAAAAGGACCGTGGGGATGCTGCATCAGTCATAAGTGTGAAAAACAGTCATACGTCAATTTTTCCAGGGCCGTTGTAACTTTGAGCGGTCACTAAATGAACACGCTTGCCTGTATTTCTTTTTCCCCCCCAGTCTGGAATAGCCTTTTTACTTGTTTTATATTGCCATTCTTCACAAACATTCCCACAAATTGTTCATCTCTTCATTCCACAAATATGGAGGCCAGACCACAGCGGGACGGTGGGGGCGGGGGGGCGGCGGAATGGATAGGTGAAAAAATAGATTTGGTCGAGATGGAAATGTCCACTGTTTTAAACAAAGAGAGTTCAATAAAGGAGAATATTTATATGAGGAAGTCCTTCAAACAGTGCCCCCCTACTTTTGGGGGCACCAGGGACCGGTTCCATGGAGAACGGTTTCTCCGCGCACCAGAGGAGGCGTGGTTTCATATGCTGCCTGCATCCCGCGAATGAGGCTTCGCTTGTTTGTACGGGACAGTTTCTGGCATGTCGCGGCCCGGTGGGGTTCCACGGACCGGAGGTTGGGCAACCTTGCCTTAGAGCAGGGGCCCTCTAATCTGGCTCGCGGGTCCGGCCTGGAAATAGCAAATTGAGGCCTGCGGTGCCTCTAGGGTGCTGCAGGACTCCGTCCGGGCTGAAAATGTGGTGTGGGGGCGTATGTGTGCCCCCCCCCCCGTGCTCTGTTTTGGCCGACAGGGTGCTGCAGGACTCCCTCCAGGCCGAAAATCGGCCACGTGGGCCATGTGAGACCCCCTCTGTGCCATGTTTTGGCCGACAGGGTGCTACAGGCTCTGTCTAGGCCAAAAATGGGGCACAAGGGGGCACAAGAGGGGGGGCGTGTGAGGTCCCCCTGTGTCCCCATTTTTGGCCTGGACAGAGCCTGTAGCACCCTGTCGGCCAAAACATGGCACAGAGCCAAGGTGGCGCAGTGGTTAAATGCAGCACTGCAGGCTACTGCTAGATCAGCAGNCAAGTTTTGCAGATCTCGGCCTGGCAGCTCTCCAAGCCAGATAAGGTCTGTGACTGTAAATCCTCCCTTGAAAGACTTTGCTGGATGTGAATGAGAAGAATTCACAGTACATTAATAAAAGGAGTTTTTGTCAGGATGAGGAGTTTGCTTCATGCTCTCGGGAAGCCTCGGTCAGAACATGGGCACATTAAACAACTAATTAAACTATGCCCATAAATGTAATGAATACTGATAACCGGTTCACAGCAACCCTTGTAGTTTGGGTTGTCACTGCTGAAACAGCCTTGTAAAAAAAAAACAACTAAATAAAATTGTTTATTGTGTTAATAGGGGAACAACCGAGCAATGCGTTCACCTTCTGTTTTCAGTGAAGGGAGATGGTCCTTCAGTCACTTGAGGATCGAAGGACTGTTTGATCTCGTGAACAGATTTCTCTACCCTGTTTTCAAGGATGATCAGAAGGGGGCGGGGGCAGAGGTGGTATTCAGCCGGTTCGGACCGGTTCGAGCGAACTAGTAGCGCCAACAATCAGTTGGCCCCGCCCGGCCACCCCTGCGATTCGAACCACTGAACAGCTGACCTTCAGATCGCCAAGCTTGGCATCTTAGCTACTGAGCCAGCGTGTCCCTTAAAAACCACTATACTTATCAGCCATTCATTCTTTGTCTTGGTTACCGACTCCACTGTTTGAAAAATCATTTATAACAACCCCCCCCCCACTTTTCTCCCTCCGGATTTCTCTGTAAGGATCTCAACCAACTTGAAGTGGTCTTCCCCAGCTGGTCTGTGACTGCTCCCTTCCTCTTGCAGAATTCCCTTGAAAAATCTTCAAAGAGAATAACGTACTTACTTATTTACTCTGTGTTACAGCTGGAGAAGGCTCTGTGGCTAAGACACTCAGCTTGTCGATCAGAAAGGTCGGCAGTTTGGCAGTTCGAATCCTTAGCGCCGCATAACGGAGTGAGCTCCCCTTACCAAGGTGGCGCAGTGGTTAAATGCAGCACTGCAGGCTACTTCAGCTGACTGCAGTTCTGCAGTCCAGCTGCTCAATTCTCACCGGCTCAGGGTTGACTCAGCCTTCCATCCTTCCGAGGTGGGTAAAATGAGGACCCGGATTGTTGTTGGGGGCAATATGCTGACTGGAAACCGCTTAGAGAGGGCTGAAAGCCCTATGAAGCGGTATAAAAGTCTAACTGCTATTGCTAACTGCTATTACTTGTCCCAGCTTCTGCCAACCTAGTTCGAAAGCGTGTAAAAATGCAAGTAGAAAAATAGGAACCACCTTTGGTGGGAAGGTAACAGCGTTCCGTGCCCCTTCGGCGTTTAGT